TATTGTTTTGTACGAATACTTTTTTCACCCGAAGAAGTTAACATGTTGCATTAATTTTTGTTGCATTGAGATTTAATTTCTATTGATGCTATTTTGAATACAATGCGCCTCTATGCATAATATAAATCACTTCTCCTGTTCAGTTTGTGTACTTACATACATTAAAATACGATTTTTCAAGTGTACGAATATTTATTTCCCCCCACTGTAAGTTTTCAGTAATGAAAGGAATGTCACGCTTTAAAAATAAATTCAGTACACATTAAATGGAAATATCAGGCTTGTCAAACTCGCATGCGGGTAGGCACCGATGATCCACATGACTCATACATGATTTCTTGTTTATGTTAGTCAGTCCTCAAATAATGCGGATGCGTCAGGTAATCAGTGAACTTGGTCGAGAATTCGAGAGTTAAACCCTTGAAATACTGCATGATATAGAAATGCAATATTTTGTGATATAATACAGATAAGAACTGTCGTGATGAGATGATGCCTTTCACTAACTTGAGACCGAAATAAGTAGGAGCGGCAAGTACATACTGTTGCACTGTTTATGAGCTGTATACCGCAATTATCTGAGGCCCTGTTTCTGGATTACAATTTGTTTATCGTCGATTAGCATAAATTAGCAAAGTCTTGCCCAAAAATTAGGAACCTCTGGGTGAGGCAACTCAATTGCAAGTCAAATATATTTCTTAGACTAAGGAAGAGCACAGAGCCATTCTGTCCATAGAGCCATTAATGGAATCTTCTCCAATTATCTTAAAAGCAACAGTTGCTTTTATTCAATAAGTGCAATTTCATAAACTTCCAAATGTCAACATCCTACAGTATTTCTTTGCGAACGCAAAATGGACAACTTCTGACCATAATTCAAATTTTGGAATGAACATAAAGACAGATGTAGGAGTCGTAGACTCTTACATTTCTACATACAACTTTCTCGGTGACTTAGTAAGCCAAATGCGTGCCTAATTAATGCTATCTGAGTTCATATTTGCCTTTCAAGCTGCTTGTGCTACGTGCTACTCGAAATTCAATACTTTATCGTCACTCCTCAGTATTTTTTAATCAACTCTCCTCCAGCCCTGGCGTTACATACTCTAGGGCGAAGGGTTGCTAGGGTCTGGGCTCAAATCCTTGGCAAAATGCAAAACAATCTAGGAAGTCTAGAATCGGCGACACGCCAGATCTAGCATAATGAACACAAACGCCACATTGCTACGAAGAAAATGGTAAAAATTCTCACTATCTTAATTAAAAACGGTTCAAAATCTAAATGCGTCGTCAGTCCTAAGATACTATAATAATAGAGTAGGTGTAATAAATGAGCTGATTAGCTCTGTAAAATCCACCCTGACTCTCAAGCACAACCTACGAGCCGCCAAAGACTCCATCAGCCGCTCAAACGAATAGATCAATCGAGCGCGTTTCTGCGGTGAGCCGCCAGACGCACCTGACGCGTCTTATAGTGCGTCTCGCGCGTGCAGTTCAACGCAATTCTGTGTCGGAAAAGCGTTACTGTTACTCTTATCTCTACTGTTACTTGTTCTGTTACGTTTTACGCTAGTGTTGGGGACGCAACATTTTTGGATTTTCAGAAGTCATAAATGAGAAGTAACAAGCGCCAGCTCGTTAACAAAATTAAAGCCATTCTGAGAACACTATCGCTGACCTCTAATTCAACAATATGCATTTACTACATCTGTCCCAGTCCCATTCGGGGCAACATACTAACATTCATTTCCAAATTTTGTTTTTTCTCAATATTTCAGATCTAGTGTTAGATTTATCATATTCACATTTACTGAATCACTAAACATAATACTGAATCATGAAGAAGTTTGAGTGTTAACTACGATATTTGCCTTGACTCCAGTTGAACACTCAGCTTCAGCAGACTTTTATATGATGGCAGCATAGTTCACATATATAATTTTGTCCATGTTCATATTTATCCAAGGAGAGTAGAGTGTTGAGTGGTAGTAATCAATTAAAACAATTCATTAGTAAACAACAGTAAACAAACAATTCATTAAAATTAAACAAGCGATTTCACGGAGTAAACTTCGGATGACCGGCATGCAGCATGACTACAATGATTTAAACTGACTAAAATTAACAAATTAATTTAAGTAGAAATCAGGAATTGAAAGTTCAAGCACAGGATTGAAAAAATATTAAATTTGCAATAAATATATGTCATAGGATTTTTCAAATTCAAACGAATATATGGATGAGGAACGTTTGCTTCGAAAAATTGGTCTATACTATAGTCGGTCCTCAACTAATATAAAGAAAATGAGTAACTGGTTGACTAATACATAGAGATTATTGATAACCCATTTAATGATAATAAAACATTTTTAAAACATATCAATGCAATTAACCTAACCAAACAGTACTGGTTAGATACAGTAAATAAAAGTTAGTTATTTACTTATTTTTATGTTTTACCTTCCCTACATGGATGTCTAATTTAATCTACCAATCTCAAAAATTATCCACATATACATATAAAAATCAGTCTTTTATTTGTATATATATATTATATATATATATGGATAATTTTTGAGATTGGTAGATTAAAGTAAACATCCATGTAGGGAAGGTGAAACATAAAAATAACTGAGCAAACTGAAACATGAAAAAATACCTGTAACATTTACTTGCCAGTCGCAAGCAAAGTGAAATATATAAATACCTGTAACATTTACCTGCAAGCAAACTGAAACATAACAATACCTGTAACATTTACTCGCAAGTCGTAAGCAAATTGAAATATACAAATAACTAACATTTACTCGCCAGCAAACAACACGGAAAAATATTTCCATTTAGTTAAACTTTTTCTTTTAAAAATACCAGCAATTCAAAATGAACATCCGACAAGCTTGAACGCTTTGGCTTTAGGATATCCTTTCCCAAGGAAAGCATCCTCTCCACCGCAGCACTAGAAGGGATTGGAGTGTTGTACTCAAGGAACGGGTACGGGAAAATCTCAAGGAACGGGTTACAAGGAAATGATTCAGGAGCAGGTAAAGCGGTGCTTAGCGGACTTTCCAAATAATTCTTCACTAGTCGATCTCCTTCATTGACTTGACTGTGATTTCGTGTTTTCTGGAGTTCATTAAAGAACGAATCAGCATTCTCCTCGTTCGACCGATGCTCGAGTATGGCCACTCAGTCTGGCAGCCAAGGCACAAGACTCTGTGCTCCGACCTGGAGGACGTTCAGAGGAGGGTAACCAAGCTTATCGCAAGCCTCAAGGACAAGCCGTACCCTGAACGCCTCGCCTCGCTCGGTCTACCCAGCTTGGAGCACAGAAGACTAAGAGGGGGTATGATCGACGTTTTCAAGTATGTCCACGGTACCTACGAGGCTGACCGCCCCCAGCTGCACCTTCACGACGGCAGAGATACCCGCGGGAACAGCCTGAAACTCGCCAAGGGAAGCTGCAGACTGAACGTCACAGCCGGCTACTTCTCCTACCGAGTCGTGCCAATATGGAACAGCCTGCCGGACAGCGTCGTCACTGCCCCCTCTATTAACGCCTTCAAGATCAGGCTTGACAGCACTATGCGACACGCAGAGAACTGTACGACCCCGAATGCTGTCATTAGCTCCCATTTTGGCACTTCTGGACTAACTGCTAGCCACGCATGCGACAAATAGTCAAGAAGCAACCCCCAACCAGGCGTGGTGAACAGGCCGCAAGGCCTTTTACACTGAACTTATCAAGTATCAAGTGAGTATCGTCATCGCTGCTGCTGCTGGTAGCTTGCACGGAACAAGAACAAGTGGTAACTGGTAACAACTTAACAAGTAACAACTAACATGTTGACACTAGTAACAGGCTGAGGTTGACAACATTACACCGAAATCTTTCGTACAGTTTTATTCTGTAATTTATTTTATGTATATTATAGTATGTATCATGTTGGTTTTTAAATAATATTTAATACTATTAAGTAAAATCTAAAGGCTTTATCTATAAATGTAGCGGTAGCGCTGTAGCGACCAAACCACGTATCGCTACTTAAATATGTAGCGGGCGCTACCGCTACCGCTACAATTGCTTAAATGTAGCGCCGCTACCGCTACTGAAAATATAGCGGCTGCTATAGTAGCGGCCGCTACATGTAGCGGCCGCTACTGCCCAGCTCTGGTCATAGACGTGGCCACGCTTTTATCAAAGTGAAAGTTCTTTTCATTGATTGTATTGTCTGTGCGAACCTCTGATACATTGTGTGAACACTGCGACCAATTTTGAATTTGCTAGAAAAAGGGAGCACTAAGATACTGGTGCGAGATTAGATAGCGTGAAGCTTTCTTGTTATATGCTGGGAACAATATTGCTTAACAATGAATAAAGATTTGGAAGGAAACGACATGTCACGTTTATATTCCATGGATATTATTGTAAACGTGAGATAATTATCCCATTTTATTACAAAAATCTGTGGTGCTTAAATGAAGGACACTATTGCCGGGATGCTCGTTTGTTAACTTCCTCGTGCATGCGTTAAGCCCCTTGTCTATGGACACATGAACCGTTGTCAACGCTATTCCTACCAGGATCTTGGTGCCGAGACTTCCCATCAGCATACTTGGCTATACTCTGGTTAGTCCTGACATCTTGCTGTTGATCTATGTACTCAGTAAGAATGTACGTAATGCATAGTGAATCTTTTCCACGGGTACGGAAAATCTAAAGAATGAAAATAAAGAGAAGATTGCAATACAAGAATAAGCGAATAGGTTGACTTAATGTTAATGAAAATATTACCAATCATGTGAAAATCTTACGGGCTCGCGATAAATCTGCTTTATTTGATGGCAGATCGCAGTGAAGCCGCATGTAATTAACTGTAAAGTAGTTCATAAATATCTTCTCTTAAGAAATGAGAATACTTGTATATACAGTTATTGTCTATGAAAAGTTTTTCGGCCCCGAACAAACTTTTTGCTTTGATTTTTGAAGTGGTATGAAAAAATTGTGGGTAGTTTGGTGCAAAATTGTATAAGTAAACTTAGGAACATGCCTCACCCAGTTTATTTCTGAGACTTGTAGCACAACTTGATTAATCCTGACGTGATAAATACTCTCAAGTTATTAGAATAAAAACATGAACTCATAGTTGACATAAGATTATTTGCCTGTACAAATTCATCTCAAAATTTCATCCGCGTTCAACACTTTGAGGTACACTAAGCACCAAGGGTTTGGTGTAAACGTATGGTACTGACTTACTTAAGTGATGTAAAACTGCTCGTATGCGGTCTTTGGGATTTAACCAGCTCGTCAATAATTAGAATAGAATAGAATAGAAGTGTCGGCACTGAAGAAATAGGCCCATGGCCTGTTGCCGATTCTTGAATTTTTCGTGACTTGATTCACAAGGGATCCGGCCTCGGGAACCCGATCTTTCCATAACTGACGATTGATTGAGATAGCTGCTGGACTTATTGCCTGGTCCGTAATTTGCTAGGCATTTTAAGACTGAACATATGCTCCTGCATAGCTTCGTCTAGTCTTATTGCCTGGTCCGTAATTTGCTAGGCATTTTAAGACTGAACATATGCTCCTGCATAGCTTCGTCTAGTCTGTTTTTTTAAGGCGTTCATACTCGGAGCGTCAACGAGGCTATCAGGGAGGCTGTTCCACATGTCGGTGACTCGAAGCGAGAAGAAATGTTATCTCATGGATGTGTTTCGGTTTTCCAACATCAGTGTCATGTGGTCCGACATCAGGTGGTTGGTAACTTCAACAAATGCATGCGGCCGTGACTGGCTGGCTGTTGTTGAGCGTGCATGTAAATAACATAACATAGTGGCGCTGAAGTGTAGGCCTGATGTGGCCTGTCGCCGAATCTTTTCCTTTTCGTGCCTTAATTGTTCACAGAAGATCTAAAATCGTGTCATTTGACCGGATCTTTTCATGACTGACGATAGTTTGAAATAGCTACTCGACTTCCACCGGGTTTGATATGGTGCTGGGCATTTCAAATCTGAACATATATTTATCCATAGCTTTATCTAGCCTGTTCTTGAACGTGTTCATACTCGGTGCGCCAACGATGTAATCAGGGAGGCAGTTCCACATGTCGGTGATTCGAAGCGAGAAGAAATGTTGGCGCGTGTAGAAGGTGGAGAAGTTGCAGCGCAGTTTTTTTAGTTTATAGCCGTGGCCCCTGGTGTTGGTTCTTGTTTCAAATTCTAGTGATCCTTCTGGGACCTTGTATAAACCA